ATCAACTTTGATGTTTATGATGTCGATATTCGACTTCATAAACACGATCAACTTTCGTGTTTATGACGGCGATATTCGAGGTGATAAACACGATCAACTTTGGTGTTGATAACGTCGATATTCGACGTCATAAACACGATCAACTTAGATGTATATGACGTTGATATTCGACGTCATAAACACGATCAACTTTGATGTTAATGAGGTCGATGTTCGACCGCATAAACACGATCAACTTTAGTGTTGATGACGTCGATATGCGACGTCATAAACACGATCAACTTCGGTGTTTATGACGTCGATATTCGACGTCATAAACACGATCAACTTTGGTGTTTATAACGTCGATATTCGAAGTGATAAACACGATCAACTTGGAGTCTATGACGTCGATATTCGGCGTGGAAACACGATAAACTTTGGTGTTTATGTCGTCGATATTCGACGTCATAAACACGATCAACTTTGATGTTCATGACATCGGTATTCGACGTCATAAACACGATCGACTTTGGTGTTTATTACGTGGACATTGAACGTCATAAACACGATCAACTTTGGTGTTAATAACGACGATATTCGACGTCAAAGACACGATCAACTTTGGTGTTTATGACGTCGATATTCGAAGTGTTAAAATAATCAACTTTGATGTTTAAGGGGTCGATATTCGACGTCATAAACACGATAAACTTTGGTGTTTATAACGTCAATATTCGACGTCATAAATACGATCAACTTAGATGTTGATGACGTTGATATTCGACGTCATAAACACGATAAACTTTGATGTTTATGAGATCGATGTTCGACGTCATAAACACGATCAACTTTGATGTTTATGACGTCGATATACGACGTCATAAACACGATCAACTTTGGTGTTTATGACGACGAAATTCGACGTCGATATACGACGTCATCAACACGAACAACTTTGATGTTTATGATGTCGATATTCGACGTCATAAACACGATCAACTTTGATGTTCATGACATCGATATTCGACGTAATAAACACGATTTACTTTGATGTTTATGACGTCGATCTACGACGTCATAAACACGACCAACATTGATGTTGATGACGTCGATATACGACGTCGTAAACACGATCAACTTTGGTGTTTATAACGTCGATATTCGACGGCATAAAAACGATCAACTTCGGCGTTTATGACGTCGATATTCGACGTCATAAACACGACCAACTTTGGTGTTTATGACGTTGATATTCGACGTCATAAACACGATCAACTTTGATGTTTATGAGGTCGATGTTCGACGGCATAAACACGATCAACTTTGATGTTGATGACCTCGATATGCGACAAAATTCGACGTCGATATACGACGCCATCAACACGATCAACTTTGATGTTTATGATGTCGATATTCGACTTCATAAACACGACCAACTTTCGTGTTTATGACGGCGATATTCGAGGTGATAAACACGATCAACTTTGGTGTTGATAACGTCGATATTCGACGTCATAAACACGATCAACTTAGATGTTTATGACGTTGACATTCGACGTCATAAACACGATCAACTTTGATGTTAATGAGGTCGATGTTCGACGGCATAAACACGATCAACTTTGATGTTGATGACGTCGATATGCGACGTCATAAACACGATCAACTTTGGTGTTTATGATGTCGATATTCGACCTGATAAACACGGTCAACTTTGGTGTTTATGACGTCCATATTCGACGTCATAAACACGATCAACTTTTCTGTTTATGACGTCGATATTCGACGTCATAAACACGATCAACTTTGGTGTTTATAACGTCGATATTCGAAGTGATAAACAAGATCAACTTGGTGTCTATGACGTCGATATTCTGCGTGGAAACACGATAAACTTTGGTGTTTATGTCGTCGATATTCGACGTCATAAACACGATCAACTTTGATGTTGATGACATCGGTATTCGACGTCATAAACACGATCGACTTTGGTGTTTATTACGTGGACATTGAACGTCATAAACACGATCAACTTTGGTGTTAATAACGACGATATTCGAAGTGTTAAAATGATCAACTTTGATGTTTAAGAGGTCGATATTCGACGTCATAAACACGATAAGCTTTGTTGTTTATAACGTCGATATTCGACGTCATAAACACGATCAACTTAGAGGTTGATGACGTTGATATTCAATGTCATAAACACGATAAACTTTGATGTTTATGAGATCGATATTCGACGTCATAAACACGATCAACTTTGATGTTGATGACGTCGATATACGACGTCATAAACACGATCAACTTTGATGTTTATGAAGTCGATATACGACGTCATAAACACGATCAACTTTGGTGTTTATCACGACGAAATTCGACGTCGATATACGACGTCTTTAACACGAACAACTTTGATGTTTATGATGTCGATATTCGACTTCATAAACACGATCAACTTTCGTGTTTATGTCGTCGATATTTTACGTGATAAACACGATCAACTTTGGTGTTGATAACTTCGATATTCGACGTCATAAACACGATCAACTTTGATGTTGATCACGTCGATATACGACGTCATAAACACGACCAACTTTGATCTTTATGACGTCGATATACGACGTCATAAAAACGATCAACTTTGGTGTTTATGACGACGAAATTCGACGTCGATATACGACGCCATCAACACGATCAACTTTGATGTTTATGATGTCGATATTCGACTTCATAAACACGATCAACTTTCGTGTTTATGACGGCGATATTCGAGGTGATAAAACGATCAACTTTGGTGTTGATAACGTCGATATTCGACGTCATAAACACGATCAACTTAGATGTTTATGACGTTGATATTCGACGTCATAAACACGATAAACTTTGATGTTTATGAGATCGATATTCGACGTCATAAACATGATCAACTTTGATGTTGATGACGTCGATATACGACGTCATAACCACGATCAACTTTGATGTTTACGACGTCGATATACGACGTCATAAACACGATCAACTTTGGTGTTTATCACGACGAAATTCGACGTCGATATACGACGTCTTCAACACGAACAACTTTGATGTTTGTGTTGATGCGCAGTGTGGCTGCACTTAAATTTAGTTAGCTCAATGTGTGAAATAAAATAGGAAAATTTGGGGTCTTAGCATCTCCTAATGGTACAAAGACATTACTAAACTTATCGAGTAACATGTTTGGGTTTTTTCGACATGGTTGCCGTTCAATTTACCAACAAAATTGGATTATTTGTCCTCTACTGTTTCGACACGGCGGGGGTAATGGCGTAGAACGAACAGATTTTAGACTTAAATACTCGACCATATCACTACGTATTCTTCGAAATTGCTCCACGAATCTTTCATTGAATCAGTCTATTCACGAAAGACTTAAAAGTTATGGTATTCTGAAACCTTTTCGAGGATGCAGAAGTAGGAAAAAAGTTAAATCATCTCATCAAACAAGAACATCAAATATTCAAGCCATTACACAAACAAGAAGAATTTGCATATCGATTTCAAAGCCTTATTTCGATAACCCATATAATTATGCATTACAAAGACGTTCTCTGGTGCCTCTTAACAGAATTAAACTACCTCCTATTCCCCTACTTCCCACGATTACTTTGTTAAATTCTCGATCGCTTTTGCCAAGGATCGACGAGCTTTCTATTCTACTGCCGCAGAAACGATCGGACATAGCCGTTATCACCGAGACATGGCTAAGACCCGACATAAGCAGCGAGCTTTTGTCTATCGATGGATATAATTTGCATCGAGCGGACAGACGTGTGGGTCGTGGTGGCGGGGTATGTGTTTTCACTTCTATTGATATCCCGTGTAAACGTCGTGTTGATTTAGAAAGTCCTGATTTCGAATGTCTATGGCTATGGCTTCGCCCCTATCGATTGCCTAGACCACTTTCTGGCATTGCTCTTTGTGCCGTCTACAACGCTCCTGGCAAACCTATCGAAGAGCAAAATAACTTGTGTGATCACATAGTCAAGACATCAGACTTTGTACGTAACCAATATCCTGACTGCGCGCTTATTATTCTCGGTGACTTTAACCAATTAGATGTCTCGCAGATCACCTCGAACCTCGACTTGATTCAGGTTGTAGATAACCCAACCCGGGGAGTTAATACCTTAGATCTAATCATTTGTAACACCTGCAATTTCTACGAGAATCCTGCCATACTTGCCCCCCTAGGCACATCGGATCACAACATCGTACATTGGACCCCTAAAGCTAGATATCTGAATAACGACACTGGGTCTTTACCCAAACGCTATTCCCGTCGTTTTCTACGGTCAAGGCTTGACGCTTTTGGACGGTGGATCTGTGGCGTTAATTGGTTTGCTGATGTTGTCCAGCTTTCAGCCGATAATCTAACCGATTCTCTGACATCTACCCTTACTACCGCTATTGACATTTTCTTTCCCCTAAAGTCCACCAAGTTACACACAACCGATAAACCATGGATCTCACACGCCATCAAGTCTTTAATCCAGAAACGACAGAACGCATTCAATAATAATGACCCAGTCCGATGGAGGCACTATAAAAATAAAGTTAAGAAAGAAATTTCCAAACGCAAGAAAGCATTTTACGAAGATAAGGTTAAGCACCTTAAGAATGAAGATTGTAGGAAATGGTGGAGATTTGTGAATAGATTATCAGGAAGACGAAATAAGTCGCAACCTTTCACAATCGAGAAGGACGGGTTAGCTTTAACCGACTTCGAGCTTGCTGAACATTTAAACACGTTTTTCCTATCTGTTAACGAAGACATCTCCCCTTTGGACATAAACAGTATACCTGCTTTCCTCCCTGCGGAAGAACCCCTTCAAAGATTTCTGAGATTGAAGTCTACAGCAAATTGGCCAAGATTAACCCCTACAAAGCAAGTGGCCCTGATCACATCCCCGCACGTATTCTAAAGGAATTTTCTTTCGAGCTCTCGAAACCAGTTGCACGGGTTTTTAACGTTTCTCTTTCCGAAGGAGTCACCCCAACTGCTTGGAAAAAGTCTGAGATAATACGTATAACAAAAGTTCAGCCTGTTTCTGATGAAGGTGACCTTAGACCTATATCCTTGACTCCCTGTCTCTCCAAAGTATTGGAGGACTTTGTGGTAAATTGGATCATTTCGGACTTAGGTCATAAAATCGACCCCCAGCAATTTGGCTGTTTAAAAGGCACTTCCACTACTTATTGCCTTCTCGATATCCTTCATAACTGGCTAAATCACCTCGATAACCCTGGAAAATACATCCGCGTTTGCTTCCTTGACTTTTGTAAAGCATTCGATCGGATCGACCACAACATCGTCATTTCGAAACTTATCAACCTCGGCGTACGAAGAGCCTTGATCCCGTGGATCTGTAGCTTTTTGTCTGGTCGGATGCAGTCTGTAAAAGTTAATCAATTTACCTCTAACTGGGCCCCTGTTACTGCCGGTGTCCCGCAGGGTACCAAGCTTGGCCCTATCCTATTCCTCGTAATGATCAACGACCTTGCCAGCCATTCTCCGTTGAGGTCTAGTAATTGGATGTTTGTTGATGACGTTACCATCTCCCAAGCCATCCATCGTAACTCCCCCCCTGGAATACAACAAGATCTCCACTCTATTAATGCCTGGTCGATGAGTAATAACATGAAATTACACCCTAAAAAGTGCAAGGACTTTACCATCTCTTTTCTTCGCAACCCCCCGCAAGAACTGTCTTCTACATTGTCGATCAACTCCCAACCTTTAGAGAAGGTCACCTGTTTTAAACTGCTAGGAGTCACCTTACAAAACGATCTAAAATGGAACGCCCATGTTGACTCTATCACGTCCAAAGCTTCAAAGAGACTTCATATTTTGCGAGTTTTGCGTAACTCCGGTGTGTCTGCCAACGACCTCCTGACTATCTACATTTCGATTATCAGATCTGTGCTAGAATACTGCTGTGCAGCCTGGAATACATCTATCCCCTCCTACCTTTCCGACAAAATCGAGAGGGTTCAACGTCGTGCTCTACGGATTTTATATCCAAACATGTCCTATTCAACCGCGCTTGCTACCTCCTCTCTTCCCCGTCTATCCGATCGTCGTGATACTCTTTGTAAGAAGGTTTTGGATAAAATAACAATACCATCATCACGCCTTAACCGCATTTTACCTCCGACCCGGATTGAGTCGCATGGCAGAGAACTGCGCCACTCTAGTAATCTTAGCCTATTTAAGTGTAGGACGGACAGATTTAAGAACAGTTTCTTCCCAGCTATGTGCTCACGTACTATGAACAAGTCATGACCGTTGTCAATTAGGTTTACAATCTAAATTTCCATTTTTATATAACTCCAATTCCTAGTTTTAAAAAGTAACAGTAGTCTTCATAATTTTATGCTTGTAAAAATACTATAATTCACTATTACTTGTATTAGTGCGATTGTATTTTAAATATACCGTCTATTATTATTATTATTATTATTATTATGTTTATGATGTCGATATTCGACTTCATAAACACGATCAACTTTCGTGTTTATGTCGTCGATATTTGACGTGATAAACACGATCAACTTTGGTGCTGATAACTTCGATATTCGACGTCATAAACACGATCAACTTTGATGTTGATGACGTCGATATACCACGTAATAAACACGATCAACTTTGATCTTTATGACGTCGATATACGACGTCATAAAAACGATCAACTTTGGTGTTTATGACGACGAAATTCGACGTCGATATACGAGGCCATCAACACGATCAACTTTGATGTTTATGATGTCGATATTCGACTTCATAAACACGATCAACTTTCGTGTTTATGACGGCGATATTCGAGGTGATAAAACGATCAACTTTGGTGTTGATAACGTCGATATTCGACGTCATAAACACGATCAACTTAGATGTTTATGACGTTGATATTCGACGTCATAAACACGATCAACTTTGATGTTTATGAGGTCGATGTTCGACGTCATAAACGCGATCAACTTTGATGTTGATGACGTCGATATACGACGTCATGACCACGATCAACTTTGATGTTTATGACGTCGATATACGACGTCATAAACACGATCAACTTTGGTGTTTATCACGACGAAATTCGACGTCGATATACGACGTCTTCAACACGAACAACTTTGATGTTTATGATGTCGATATTCGACTTCATAAACACGATCAACTTTCGTGTTTATGTCGTCGATATTTGACGTGATAAACACGATCAACTTTGGTGTTGATAACTTCGATATTCGACGTCATAAACACGATCAACTTTAATGTTGATGACGTCGATATACGACGTCATAAACACGATCAACTTTGATCTTTATGACGTCGATATACGACGTCATAAAAACGATCAACTTTGGTGTTTATGACGACGAAATTCGACGTTGATATACGAGGCCATCAACACGATCAACTTTGATGTTTATGATGTCGATATTCGACTTCATAAACACGATCAACTTTCGTGTTTATGACGGCGATATTCGAGATGATAAAACGATCAACTTTGGTGTTGATAACGTCGATATTCGACGTCATAAACACGATCAACTTAGATGTTTATGACGTTGATATTCGACGTCATAAACACGATCAACTTTGATGTTTATGAGGTCGATGTTCGACGTCATAAACACGATCAACTTTGTTGTTTATGACGTCGATATTCGACGTCATAAACACGATCAACTTTGGTGTTTATAACGTCGATATTCGAAGTGATAAACACGATCTACTTGGTGTCTATGACGTCGATATTCGGCGTGGAAACACGATAAACTTTGGTGTTTATGTCGTCGATATTCGACGTCATAAACACGATCAACTTTGATGTTCATGACATCGGTATTCGACGTCATAAACACGATCGACTTTGGTGTTTATTACGTGGACATTGAACGTCATAAACACGATCAACTTTGGTGTTAATAACGACAATATTCGACGTCAAAGACACGATCAACTTTGGTGTTTATGACGTCGATATTCGAAGTGTTAAAATGATCAACTTTGATGTTTAAGAGGTCGATATTCGACGTCATAAACACGATAAACTTTGGTGTTTATAACGTCGATATTCGACGTCATAAACACGATCAACTTAGATGTTGATGACGTTGATATTCGACGTCATAAACACGATAAACTTTGATGTTTATGAGATCGATATTCGACGTCATAAACACGATCAACTTTGATGTTTATGACGTCGATATACGACGTCATAAACACGATCAACTTTGGTGTTTATGACGTCGATATACGACGTCATAAACACGATCAACTTTGGTGTTTATGACGACGAAATTCGACGTCGATATACGACGTCATCAACACGAACAACTTTGATGTTTATGATGTCGATATTCGACTTCATAAACACGATCAACTTTCGTGTTTATGTCGTCGATATTTGACGTGATAAACACGATCAACTTTGGTGTTGATAACGTCGATATTCGACGTCATAAACACGATCAACTTTGATGTTGATGACGTTGATATACGACGTCATAAACACGATCAACTTTGATCTTTATGACGTCGATATACGACGTCATAAAAACGATCAACTTTGGTGTTTATGACATCGATATTCGACGTCATAAACACGATCAACTTTGGTGTTTATGACGTCGATATTCGACGTCATAACCACGATCAACTTTGGTTTTTATAACGTCAATATTCGAAGTGATAAACACGATCAACTTGGTGTTTATGACGACGATATTCGGCGTGGTAAACACGATAAACTTTGGTGTTTTTGTCGTAGATATTCGACGTCATAAAAACGATCAACTTTGATGTTCATGACATCGGTATTCGACGTCATAAACACGATCATCTTTGGTGTTTATTACGTTGACATTGGACGTCATAAACACGATCAACTTTGGTGTTTATAACGTCGATATTCGACGTCAAAGACACGATCAACTTTGGTGTTTATGACGTCGATATTCGAAGTGTTAAAAACGATCAACTTTGATGTTTAAGAGGTCAATATTCGACGTCATAAACACGATAAACTTTGGTGTTTATAACGTCGATATTCGACGTCATAAACACGATCAACTTAGATGTTGATGACGTCGATATACGACGTCATAAGCACGATCAACTTTGATGTTTATGACGTCGATATACGACGTCATAAACATGATCAACTTTGGTGTTTATGACGACGAAATTCGACGTCGATATACGACGTCATCAACAAGATCATCTTTGATGTTTATGATGTCGATATTCGACTTCATAAACACGATCAACTTTCGTGTTTATGACGGCGATATTCGAAGTGATAAACACGATCAACTTTGGCGTTGATAACGTCGATATTGGACGTCATAAACACGATCAACTTAGATGATTATGACGTTGATATTCGACGTCATAAACACGATAAACTTTGATTTTTATGACGTCGATATACGACGTCATAAACACTATCAACCTTTGTGTTTATGACGACGAAATTCGACGTCGATATACGACGTCATCAACACGATCAACTTTGATGTTTATTATGTCAATATTCGACTTCATAAACACGCTCGACTTTCGTGTTTATGACGGCGATATTCGAAGTGACAAACACGATCAACTTTGGTGTTGATAACGTCGGTATTCGACGTTATTCTGCTTGATTCTGTCCTTTCCACCAATCCCGGTGCAGGAATTATTTTGGCCGGAGATTTTAACCAATTTAAACATCGCCAGTTATGCAGTTCCTTTAACCTCAAACAGTTAGTCAAAGACGCGACTAGAGGAAAGAATATTTTAGATAAAATATTTTCCAACATTTCTAAATTTTATAATTCTGCCCTGGTAATTTCTCCAATTTGACATTCCGATCATAATCCCATCGTTCTTAAACCTCTTCCAGCTAACTCTTATGGTGGCACAAGGTTTACACGTTTAGTACGAGACTCTCGCCCAACCAATCGTCGAATTGTTAGCGATCATCTGTGGAAAGTTAATTGGTTACCTTTGCACCAGATGGAATCTTGTGACGAGCAGTTCCAGTATTTTTCCACCATCGTAGATAATATCATAAACGAACATTTGCCTTGGAAACAAATCAAAATTGATTCTAGTTACAAGCCCTGGATTACTTCCGAAATAAAATCTCTCATTTCCAAGCGGTAGACAGCATGGGCGGCTGGCAATAACCTGGTGTTCAGATTCTATCGAAACAAAGTCAATGCACTTTGCAAGAAGGCACGACTAAATTATTACAATAAAAGTATCGCGGGCGTTCAACAGTCTGATTCTCGTAAATGGTGGTCAGCGGTGAAGAATATTGCCGGTCTTCAGTCTTCTAAGAATGTATCTACAATGATGTTCCAAGGTAAATCCTACTCTGATGCCGATTTAGCAAATTTGCTCAACGACAAGTTCGTTGCTGTAGGGTCCTCCTTACCCAATCTAAACTGGCTCCCCCTTCCCACAAATGACATTCCAGATGATTTCTGCATCTCTGTCGAGGAGACTGAAAAGGCCCTATTATCATCTAAACTTCATTCATCTGCTGGTCCCGATAAAATTCCTTCTTGGCTTCTCCGGGAAAACGCTTCAGTGTTGTGTCGACCTTTTTGTTCTATTTTTAATTCATCAGTTCGTGAAGGATTTGTTCCCTCAATATGGAAGGCAGCAAATATTACACCAGTTCAAAAATCTTCCCCTCCTAAAGATGTTGATTCTGACTTCAGACCAATTTCCCTCACACCAATTATCAGCAAGATTCTTGAATCCTTTCCTACAAATGGCTACTTGACTCCGTCTCAAAAAAAATTGATTCCTTGCAATTTGGTTCGCTGAAGGGTTCAAGCACTAGTATCGCATTAATCTACATGCTACATAAATGGTTTGAAGCAGCTGACAAACAAGGTAACACTATACGGATTTGTTTACTTGATTTTTCCAAGGCGTTTGATAGATTAGATCATAACATTCTGTTGGAAAAATTGAAAGACATGGAAATTCATCCCGTGTTACTCAACTGGATCGCAAACTTCCTAACAGGCAGACAGCAAAGAACCCGTGTTGGTCAGTTCTTTTCTGAGTGGAAGTTTTTAAACGCCGGCGTCCCACAAGGAACGAAGCTTGGCTCGCTATTATTTTTGATCATGATAAATGACTTGGCTGTAGCGGATGAAACTGTTAAATTTGTCGATGATACTAGCCTCTGGGAAATAATATCAAACAATTCCCCTTCCCAGTTACCCGCTAATATCGTCGGCTGCTCTGAATGGTCATCAGACAATAATATGAAGTTAAACGTATCAAAGACCAAAGAATTGCGTATCTACTTTTCTAAGGGCCATTCCATTTAATATCCACACCCCCCCTACGGATGAGGTCAGTAAAATTTTAACCCCTAAGAAAAAAAGATCAAAGTGCCGACACAAAACACCCCTCAGAAATTTGTAAATTTTCCCCTTACCCCTCAGAAAAATCGCAGAGATCGAAGGATGCCGACAGGCTTAACCCCTCAGAAACGACTTTTTGAGTCACCCTTCAGAAAAGCTCATCCGTAGGGGGAGTGTGGACATTAAATGGAATGGCCCTAAGCTTACTCCATCGTTTGCCCCTATTACCATTCGCGGTCAAGAGGTCGACGTCGTTTCCGAGGCCAAACTATTGGGCGTTGTCCTTTCGGATGACCTCAAATGGAACTGCCATATTGACTACATTTGCAAGAATTCGAAAGCCGCGAATCGTTTGTACGGTCTGCGCCTTCTTAAAAGAAATGCTTTACCTTCTCATATTCTGATTTCAACCTATTGTACACATATTCGACCAATTGTCGAATATGCTTGTCAAGTGTGGCATTATGGCCTTCCTCATTACCTGAGTGATCAAGTTGAAAAAATACAAAAAAGGGCATTAAAAATTATTTTCCCTGGAACTATCTATGCTGAATGTTTGCTTAAAGCTAACTTGATGACTCTTTACGAACGTAGAACTGTTCTTTGCAAGCGACTTTTTTCGAAGATGTTGGAACCCACTCATAAACTGAATGCCTTAGTACCGCCTAAAAGTCTTCAAACTTATAATCTGAGGTCTTATCCCAACTTATTAGTACCTAGGTGTAGAACTGAACGTTTTTCGAACAGTTTCATTCCTGCTGCGTCTCGTGCTTATAATAACAAGTAAACTTTAGATTATTATCGTTATTTTTATTTAACTTACCTATTTTTACCTGAAAATATAGAATAGATTGAATACTTATGTTCTTATACCCTGTAATTCCAAAGTAATTCAGTTGTTACTGCTAGTTTGGAAATTTATAATAATAATAATAATAATAAACACGATCAACTTAGATGTTTATGACGTTGATATTCGACATCATAAACACGATCAACTTTGATGTTTATGACGTCGATATACGACGTCGTAAACACGAACAACTTTGGTGTTTATGACGACCAAATTCGACGTCGATATACGACGTCATCAACACGATCAACTTTGATGTTTATGATGTCGATATTCGACTTCATAAACACGATCAACTTTCGTGTTCATGACGGCGATATTCGAAGTGATAAACACGGTCAAATTTGGTGTTGATAACGTCGATATTCGACGTCATAAACACGAACAACTTTGATGTTTACGACGTCGATATACAACGTCATAAACACGATCAACTTTGGTGTTTATGACGACGAAATTCGACGTCGATATACGACGTCATCAACACGATCAACTTTGATGTTTATGATGTCGATATTCGACGTCATAAACACGAACAACTTTGATGTTTACGACGTCGATATACAACGTCATAAACACGATCAACTTTGGTGTTTATGACGACGAAATTCGACGTCGATATACGACGTCATCAACACGATCAACTTTGATGTTTATGATGTCGATATTCGACGTCATAAACACGATCAACTTTGGTGTTTATGACGTCGATATTGGACGACATAAACACGATCAACTTTGATGTTTACGACGTCGATATACGACGTCATAAACACGATCAACTTTGGTGTTAATGACGTTGATATTCGACATCATAAACACCATCAACTTTGTGTTTATGACGTCGATATTCGGCGTGATAAACACGATAAACTTTGGTGTTTATAACGTCGATATTCGACGTCATAAACACGATCAACTTTGGTGTTTATGACGACGAAATTCGACGTCGATATACGACGTCATCAACACGATCAACTTTGATGTTGATGATGTGGATATTCGACTTCGTAAACACGATCAACTTTGGTGTTTATGTCGTCGATATTTGAATTGATAAACACGATCAACTTTGGTGTTGATAACGTCGATATTCGACGTCATAAACACGATAAACTTTGATGTTTATGACGTCGATATACGAGGTCATAAACACGATCAACTTTGATCTTGATGACGTCGATATACGACGTCATAAACATAGGATAGGATAGGATAAAACTTTATTTGACTACGCTGGCCACTTCAACCATAGCTGCTTTCCAAGTGGGGTGTAGATAAACAGTGGCGGCGCCAAGGGGGGGCAAGGGGGGGCAAATGCCCCCCCC